TTACTGCCTACAGTAACAGTTACAGTACAATACAGTAACTTAGGGACAGTTTACTGCCTACAGTAACAGTTACAGTAATAATACAGTAACTTAGGGACAGTTTACTGCCTACAGTAACAGTTACAGTACAATACAGTAACTTAGGGACAGTTTACTGCCTACAGTTACAGTTACAGTATAATACAGTAACTTAGGGACTGTTTACTGCCTACAGTAACAGTTACAGTACAATACAAGACAATTGGGAGACAGACGAGACATGTGTGAGACACACGAGACATGTGGGAGACACACGAGACATGTGGGAGACACACGAGACATGTGTGAGACACGAGACATGTGGGAGACACACGAGACATGTGGGAGGAACACGAGACATGTGTGAGACACACGAGACATGTGGGAGACACACGAGACATGTGTGAGACACACGAGACATGTGTGAGACACACGTACTCTCAGCTTTCAGGTCAGCCATCTCGCCGTCGTGGTTGCCGCTCTCCTCATCCTCCGCAGCCTCCTGCTCCTCCAGCGTGGCTTCATCATCCTCCTCCTCGCTACCTTCAAACTCCTTGTCATCCTCCTCCTCCTCCTCCTCGTCGTCTCCTTCCCCGTTAGCACTCAGCTTCCTCTTCTGCACAGCTTCCTCCGAAGCAGCTGGCTTTACTGAACCGCCGTCCTGCACAATGAGGTAACAAAAATAGTAGACAGAAGTCGTTAACTACCGCACTTCCCCCCACAGACTCCTCCTTCCTATCCTCTCTTTACACACACCCACTATCCTTGTAGCCCCCCTCTTCCCCCTCCTCCTCCTCTCTCCACACACCGACCTTCCCCGTCTCCTCCTCCTCCTCCTCTCTCCACACACCCACCTTCCCCGCCTCCTTCTTCTCCTCCTCCTCTCTCCACACACCCACCTTCCGTGCCTCCTCCTCCTCCTCCTCTTCGCTGGCGGACAGGCTGGCAGGTTTCTCGAGCACCTCTCTCGGCAGCGTTCCGAGTAGTTCCTCTAGTGACATCTCGCTCTCGCGCTGCAGCATGGACAGCTCCTCCTGCTGCTGCTCCAGGTCCGCCTCCGCGTCCGCCTGCGCTATCGTCTCCTCATCGTCCGCATCCACCTCACCCGCCGCCGGCCGGAAGTCCTCGTCTGCAAGCACGCCGCGACAAGAGAACGTGCGTGAGACAAGGGAACGTGCAACGCACTTGAGGAGAGGCGCGCGTGCAACGTTGTGCACGCACGCACAAACATGCGCACATGTGTGTGCACACACGCACGCACGCACGCACGCACGCACGCACGCACGCACGCACGCACACACACACACACACACAGCAGTGTAGACAGCACTGACCTGCGTCTGCGGATGAGCCTGCAGGGCTGGAGGCGCGGGATCCCTGCCGGGACGACGCGACGCTCAGAGGTCCCCCGTCCGCACCGCCAGGTGGCGCCGCCGGCTGATTGAGACTCTCCGACAGCCAGGAGGAATACTTCTCAGTCTGGTCGACAATGAAGTTGAGCTGGAAGTCCAAGGCCTTCTTACGTTTCTCATCAATGCGCGTCTGCTGCTTGTACTGCACCACCTGATAGAGAGAGAGAAAGAGTGTGTGTGTGAGGAGAGAGAAGGGAGGGGAGAAGAAGGGAGGGGAGAGGAAGGGAGGGGAGAGGACAGAAGAGGAGAGAGGACACCGAGGAGAGAGAAGAGGAGGGGAGGACAAAATAGAGGAGATGCGAGGAGAAGAGAGGAGAGGAGATGCGAGGAGAAAATAGAGGAGATGCGAGGAGAAGAGAGGAGAGGAGCGAAGAGGAGAGGAGAGGAGAGGAGAGGAGAGGAGAGAAGAGAAGAGAGGAGAGGAGAAAATAGAGGAGAGAAGAGAGGAGAGGACATGAGAAAGGAAAGGAAAGGGGAGAGGAGATGAGAGGAGAGGAAAGAGGAGAGGAGAGCAGAAGAGAGAGAAGCGCATCTCGAGAGGAGAGAAGATGAGATGAGAGACAGAGAGAGACAGAGACAGAGACAGAGACAGAGACAGAGACACAGAGACACAGAGAGAGAGAGAGAGAGAG